GTGGAATCGGTATTGGCATTCAAGGCGGTCCCGGAAGATAAGCGTGTCGCATTCGTTGCTACTCGTTTTCGTGGTAGGGCGGCAACTTGGTGGATGCATATTACGAGCATGTGGCATCGTCAAGGGAAATCACCAATTATTTCTTGGATGAAATTTCGTAAGTATGTGGAGGATGAGTTTTTGCCTTTCAATTACGATAGTGTCGTGTATCAGCATCTACATAATTTAAGACAGGGTACTCGTTCTGTGGATGACTACACTAACGAGTTTTATCATCTATTGAATCGAGTTGAAGTACACAAGACTAAGTCTCAGTTGATTTCGCGATATGTCAGTGGGTTGAGGGTGGCTATACAGGACATGTTGAATATAGTCAAGCCGAAATCCGTTTCTGATGCTCATCAACGGGCCCGTCTTGTTGAACAACAATTGGCCAGGAGAACAAGCTCGACTTTTCCTTCGTCCACACGGTCAGGACCAGCAACCGGGGGAATGCAACAACCAGGCCGCAATTTGCCGTCTTCCGGAGGTGGCGCAGGCCATCCGACCGCACCTGGGCGTTTTCCTTTGGCCGGGTCAGGCAACCAGCGACAGCCGGGCATTGGCGGACCTCCTCCAGCGGCGGCCGGTGTTCGTTCGGGTAGCGGGCTATGGTGTTTTGGTTGTGGCGAGTATGGACATCGCCAATCGGCCTGTCCACGAGGCTCGACATCTCGTGGTTTATTTATTGAGGACGGTGGCGAACAGGAGGTGACTGCAGATTATGATTATGATGGTCCTCCTGTTTTTTATACTGAGCCCGGATTGAGCGAGGAACATCACAGCGGGGACGTAGGCTCGACACTTGTTATTCGACGGGTGTGTTTGACACCTCATTCACCTGTTGATGAACCTGTGGAGCGCCATCAGATTTTCGAGTCCTCTTGCACCATTGGTGACAAGGTATGTCGCTTTATAATTGATCCTGGTTCTTCTGAAAACGTTATTTCACAGGAGGCGGTGGCGAAATTGGGGCTTTCGAGCGAGCCCCATCCACACCCTTACAAATTGGCATGGATCCACCGTGATCGTGCTATTACTGTTGACCGCCGGGCTCTTGTTTCTTTGACGATTGGGGCTACATACCGGGACCAAGTCTGGTGTGATGTGGTGCCCATGGATGCATGCCACTTATTACTTGGCAGACCATGGCAGTATGACTTGGCTGCTACTCTTGACTGCAGACGTAACACTTACAGCTTCACCTTCGCCGGGGTTCGAATTGTTTTGCATCCTAGTCCTCCACGTCATTCCCCTTCAGCGGGTTCTTCGACTGTTCTATTTTTTTGGCGAGCAGCCTTTGCGGTCGAGATGCAGTCAGCACCTTTTGTTCTTTTATTGTTTGGGACTGAGTCCAGTGGTGTTCAGGAGCTGCCCGAGGCTATTCAGTCTCTACTGTCTGAGTTTGCTGATGTTTTCCCGTCCGAGCTTCCTGCGGGTCTACCGCCACTTCGAGATATTCAGCATCAGATCGACTTGATTCCAGGGGCTTCTTTGCCTAACCGTCCACACTACCGGATGAGTCCAGTTGAGCACGAGGAGCTACGACGTCAGGTGGAAGAGCTCCTCCAGCGAGGGGTTGTTCGCCGGAGTCTGAGTCCATGTGCTGTACCAGCCTTGTTGATCTCGAAGAAAGATGGAGCGTGGCGTATGTGTGTGGACAGTCGGGCGATCAACAAAATTACTGTCCGGTACCGTTTTCCTATTCCTCGCCTGGATGACTTACTTGATCAGTTGCACGGGGCCACTATCTATACCAAGTTGGATCTTCGTAGTGGGTATCACCAGATTCACATTAGACCGGGGGATGAGTGGAAGACAACCTTTAAGATTCGGGAGGGTCTCTTTGAGTGGTTGGTTATGCCATTCGGCCTCTCTAATGCTCCGAGTACTTTAATGCGCATTATGAATCAGACACTACGAGACCTTATTGGCAGATGTGTCGTCGTTTATTTCGACGACATACTTATTTACAGTCGCACCGTGGACGAGCATCTGGAGCACATTCGGGAGGTTTTGCTTATTCTTCGGGCTGAGTCCTTTTTTGCGGCCCCGAAGAAGTGCCTTTTTATGGTGGACTCGGTTCTATTTTTGGGCTTTGTGATCTCTGGTTCTGGGATACGTGTGGATGACAGCAAGGTCGAGGTCGTTCGTGCGTGGCCTACGCCGACTACTTTCACTGAGGCTCGCAGTTTTCATGGCTTGGCTTCGTTCTATAGACGTTTTATTTCCCATTTCAGTTCTATCATGGCTCCGGTCACGAGTTGTCTCACGGGGAAGGTTTTTATCTGGACGGAGGCAGCCGAGGAAGCATTTGCTCTCATTAAGAGCAAGTTGACACACGCTCCGGTGCTTGTTTTACCGGACTTCTCGAGACCATTTGAGCTATCATGCGACGCCTCGAAGGTGGGAATCGATGCTGTCCTTAGCCAGGACGGACGTCCTGTGTCTTTCTTCAGTGAGAAGTTGTCGGGCTCCCGACTACGATATAGCACGTATGATGTTGAGTTTTATGCGGTGGTGCGTGCTGTGCGACATTGGAGACACTATCTTTTTCATCGGGAGTTCGTTTTGTATACCGATCACGAGGCTCTTCGTCATCTTGCCTCCCAGGATAATATTTCGGCACGGCATGCTTCGTGGACGTTATTCCTTCAGCAGTTCACGTTTGTCCTTCGACATCGGTCGGGCGCCTCGAACAGGGTTGCCGATGCTTTGAGCCGTCGGGCTTTATTACTATCTGAGATGCGCGTGTCGGTGATTGGCTTTGAGGTTCTTTGTGATCTCTATCATACTGACTCCTTCTTTGGCACTGTTCTAGCTCGGTTGCAAGATGGCCCTTATGAGGAGTACACTCTCACTGATGGGTTTTTATTCCGGGGAGTTCGTTTGTGTATTCCGGACTGCAGTTTGCGCCAGAAGCTTATTGCTGATCTTCATGGCACTGGCCATGTGGGCCGCGACAGATCCGTCGAGCTGGTGAGTCGCTCTTATTTTTGGCCTTCTTTGCGCCGTGATGTTGGGCGTTTTGTGTCTCGTTGTCGTGTCTGTCAGATATAGAAAGGTGTTGCCACGAATGCTGGTTTATACCGTCCCCTGCCTATTCCGTCGCAGCCATGGCAGGCCATCAGCATGGACTTTGTGTTGGGCTTGCCTCGCACTCAGAGGGGTTTTGATTCGATTTTTGTTGTGGTGGATAGATTTTCGAAGATGGCACACTTTATTCCGTGTAAAAGGACCACTAATGCTGTCCATGTGGCCCAGTTGTTTTTTCGGGAGATCTACCGCCTTCATGGTCTGCCTTCAGCGATTGTCTCTGATCGCTATACCCGCTTCTTGAGCTATTTTTGGAGGAGTTTGTGGCGTATGGCAGACACTAGACTCGACTTCAGCAGTGCCTATCATCCTCAGACGGACGGTCAGACTGAGGTGGTGAATCGTTCCTTAGGGAACTTGCTACGTTGTTTGGTGGGGGATAACATTCGCAGTTGGGACCAGCGCCTGAGTCAGGCGGAGTTCGCGCATAATTCGGCTCTTAGCCGTGCGACCGGCTTCACTCATTTTCTTGTGGTCTATGGCATCCATCCGCGCGGGCCGACCGGCTTAGTGGCGTTGCCGTCCGACAGCAGTGGCGATCGGCGTGCTTCGGATTTCATCGCCGATGTGCAGCACACACGCGAGGCAGCCCGGGCCCGGCTGGAGGCGACTACAGCTTCTTATAAGAAGCATGCTGATACTCGTCGTCGCCACGTGGAGTTTGAGGTAGGTAATTTTGTTTGGGCTGTCCTGACGAAGGATAGATTTTCTGCTCATGAGTATAATAAATTATCTGCTTGAAAAATTGGTCCGGTGGAGGTTGTGGAAAAAATCAATCCCAATGCCTATCGCCTCAAGCTTCCGTCACATATTCGCACTTCCGACGTTTTTAACGTCAAGCATTTGGTGCCGTTCGAGGGTGACAACTCGGACGAAGACGAGGCCCATTCGGATTCGAGGGCAAATCCTCCTCAACCCGGGGAGGATGATGGAGACGAGGCCGCGTTGATGTTCTTGCAGAAATATGACCGTTTGCGTGTCTAACACATTTATTTTATTGCTTTATTTTCCTTTTGGGTCTATTTATCTTTAGTGGTTGCAATTGTGTTATTTTATTAGTATGGGGGTGTTTCTTTAATTATTAGGATTTATCGTGCTTTAGTGGAGTTAGTGGAAACTCCTTATTTATGTACTGCGAACAGAAGAGAGAAAACAGTTTTATCGATTGAATAAAAATTATCTGTTCTCTCTTGAGATTGTTCTTTCCCTTTCGTATACATCCTCTACATCATGTTGTTTACTTGTTTTACAATTTCCTGCCTTTCATTTTAGCAAGCAGATGATGAGTTTACTCTGATTCCCCTTCAGGACATCTTGGATGATGCAAAAACCGAGTTTCTGATGCATTTTTGATAAGTTTACTCGGATTCCCCAATCCATGAGCTCGCGACTCGCACCATCCTCTCTGACCGAGCTCGGGCCTTGGCCCCCGACAGTCGGGCCACCCGCTTCCGGCCGTCGGACGCCGTCCTGAGTCTCTGCTGGAAGGATCCGCTCCAACCCAACCACCCGGACTCGGCATTCGACCACCATGAGAGGCACTCGAACCAGGGGAGCAAATCGAGTCGGTCGAAATCCAGCGGGGTGGAGTACGACAACTTGAGCGCCATTTGAAGAGTTTCGATTGGATTATTTCAATGTTTATTTTATGTTTATGTATAGCTTATGTTTAGTAGAATTTGATATGAGACGAAAAATGAGATTTTTTTATTGATTATTTGTTTATGTTGCTTTGGATATTCATTTTTTACAAAAACTTGGTGTGCTTGAATCTGTTTTGACGAATAACTTGGTGTTGTTTTGGTATTCATTTTTTTTATTGACGAATAACCTAGTGTTGTGTTTGGCTATGATTGAATCATTCTCAGAGAATAACCTGGTGTTCTGTTTCAAATATTATTTTAATATACTCACTAACAACTAACCATACACATTTTTAAAAATTAACCAAACCAAATCAAAAAATCCAAACAAAACCAAAAAGTTTTATATCCAAGCATCTCTCGGAATCCTTCATTTTTTATGGTTTAGTATATGAAGAGTGTATATGCAGTATATGTTCAGTATATGTACGTCTTAAAAATATGTAACATAATCCCAGATTAGTATATGTTGAGTTCATATTTAGTATAAAACAAAGAACATCATATTGAGTTTAATTTTCACTTTCTTCCTAAAACAAAGGACACAGTTATGTTGAGTTTAAAAGTCAGTATAAATTTTCATGTTTTGAAAGAGCAGTATATATTGAGTTTATATTTAGTATATATTTAGTATATGTTGCAATAATCTCCTAATATTAAAAAAAAAAAAAAAATTGTTCATTTGTTAGTTTCGCATTCAATAAAATATTCTCTTAAATACCACTTATAAACTCAACATATACTAATTTAGGATTTGTTTTGGATATATTTTCATTCCATTTATAATGGATTCCTATTTTAATGTTCCCATTTAATTAGCAAACATAGCCGTAATTATAGATTGGGGGCGTATTTTTCAATGAACGTTAAACTTAAAAAAAAAAAAAAAAACAAGAAGATATAATTTTTGATGGAAGACATGTTTTTCATTACAACA